GAAGACCCGTGGATTGCGTCAACATGAATATCGTATAAAATCAAAACGGCTGCAGTACAACGAGGTTCATTCGTCCTCTTCTTGTGAGATCGACCAACAAATCTCTTCTTCATGCACTTTCATACAATGTGAAATTAAATGAAAATGTCGGCCCTACTCATATCATTGTGTGCTTCATCAACTTAAACGAAATTGTGTGAATACATCGCATATTACTGATTTACTGGTAGTCTCGAAACTCTATTTACATGCGAAAAACAAGAAGCATAGTCCACTAATAGTGCCTGTACACCTCATCAGGATGCCGGAAGTTTGGAAATCAAGTAATAATTCACTTTTCGCGTAGATTGGCAGAGTATTGGGAGAAATCAACCTCATCTGCCCACAAAAGACTGATTCGACAGTGGCTGGAGGAAGTAGAGCATCACAACTCAACTAGTGCTCCATCGACATTGTACTTGCTTCCGATTGTAGGCATCACCAAGGCTGTGTGTACATGCCGCGGGTTCAGAAGACTAAAATGAATATATTTCCATCCCGTTGGCTCAGACACAGGTGAGGCATCCATTTGCCATACGGTATGCCGATTCAGTGTGTTCATGTTCGATGCCAGCAACCCTCGGTTTCCATAACAGAGGGGAAGTGATCATCTTCACTTATATGGTGAAGATTCTCCATGCAAGTTTGGGCCTATTTTGCTGTCTTTTGGCTCATTTGATTGCTGTTTTGGGCATTTGCCCAAAATTTGGTCGTAGAGTCACCAATCTGTCTATCCACTTGAATGAATACGTTTCAAAAATGCCATTCCATCACTATCGTCTATCTATGTGTCTCTTGTTCCCGTCTCTCTGGCCATAATTCTCCCTGTCCACACTCGTGTCTGTCTATCCTGGCCTCGGTTCTTCTCGCTCCCATCGCAAGGCTACTTGGGCAAACACTTTGACTTAATCCCCCTCAGACCAACCGACCAATTGATAGAGTCAAACGCGGGGCTTCATTTGTATGCCACACAGTGGGGATCCATTCACATGCACTCTTCGACTGGGCAAGTTTCCACAACCAACTTGGGCTGTGAGAGGTCATTCTGATGTCTCGGCATTTCGCCCAGTACCAGTTCGGCCGGTTTCTCCGTTGCGCTCTCCGGCTTCACGGACACATCCGACCGTCACCAAAGACGCGGATCGCCCGGCAACATTGCAATTAACACGTAGCCATCAGACTTTGAAGCCCCGCTACATGTTGAGTATTCTGATAATGAAGCGGGTACCAACGGAGCCCGCTGCCTGCCTGGGCC